TGAGGAGCGGCTGAGGGAACTGGGGTTGTTTAGCCTGGAGAAAAGGAGGCTGAGGGGAGACCTCATCGCTCTCTACAACTACCTGAAAGGAGGTTGTAGCGAGGTGGGTGTTGGTCTTTTCTCCGAAGTAACAAGTGATAGGACGAGAGGAAATGGCCTCAAGTTGCGCCAGGGGAGGTTTAGATTGGATGTAAGGAAAAATTTCTTTACTGAAAGAGTGGTGAAACATTGGAACAGGCTGCCCAGGGAAGTGGTGGAGTCCCCATCCCTGGAGGTATTTAAAAGACGAGTAGATGAGGCACTTAGGGACATGGTTTAGTGGGCATGGTGGTGTTGGGTCGACGGTTGGACTCGATGATCTTAGAGGTCTTTTCCAACCTCAATGATTCTATGATTCTATGATTCTATAACAAAGATTAGGATTTTCAGTCACAGTTACGAATTCACAAACTCTCTTTTCCTGGAATGCATGTGTATGATCAGGTGAATAGGTTGAATAATTGGCCAGTTCTGGCAAGTTAGGTGATTTAGACTTTTGCGGAATGTCACGATTTATAGTTTAACCAACAAGGAATTTTTAGAATCTGTGCATCTTTAAGAACCAGGCAATTGATAGGATTGATAGTCCCTCAAATTTAATCTCTGATGCAAAAACCCAACCCTAGTCAGGAAAACAGCATGTTCATTGCTGTCTGTGGTTGGGGCATCCACGCTTTAAATGCAAAGTTTAGGAGGTGTATTTTTGAAAGAAGAGTGTGTGTTCAGTGCCCTGTTTTCCATAAAGCTTTCCTTGGTAATATTTTCATATGTATTATTATTATTATTATTATTATTATTATATAACAATAATACAAAGTTCTTCCTACACAAACGCTCAGTGATCATTTTGTCATTAAGAGCATGAGTGGTTGCAAGAAAATACCAACAGTTGGATTAGAACTGTCTGTTAAAAGCAGATATGAGGCAAATATTATTCCCCTCTGTTTACAAAAAAATTGTTTCTTCTCCCATTAGACATAAGACAGTTACATGTGTGATGTGTTCCTATATTACTCAAATATCTTACATGCTGAAATTGGTTTTTCAAGTACAGCTACCTCCACTGTTTATTTTACTGGGTTTTTTAAAGTGCAGCTCCAAAACTGTTAAGTATTCTATTTGTTTTTTGTGTTTGTTTTTTTCCAGACTGATCTTGATTATGTTAACAGTGTTGTTGCAAGCCTGGAAAAAGAGTAAGTTGTAGTTTTAATCGGGAACTTCTTAGCTTATTGGTGGGTTTGCTTTTTATTTTTCCCAAATCAGGTTGTGATAAGTAATAAAAAGTATTCTGGAAATAGGAGATCATGCACTTTTGTTTCTTGGGGGTTTGGGCTTTTCAACAACAGAGTAATAGATGACAAATTAAGGGGCAGTGATTCAGTCAGTTAAATTGTAAAACAATAAATGGGGTTAAATTATTTGGTGCAACATAAACAGATGGGATTGGTTTAACATGAATGGAAATTTGTGACATCTGTGTTAGGGCCTTGTATTCCATATGCTCAAAGAGAACTATAGAAAAAAAATCACTGGGTTCTGAAAAAAAGAAAGGCAAAAGAGGTGTTTAGAATCTAGTTAGAATTCTGATTGTTGGGTAAGAGGTTATACTGCTCTGAAGAAGATGCTAACGAAAACAATGTATTTTTTATATACTACTTTTATTTTACATGCCTCATTTGAATAAGTCATTGTTGTAACAAGGCATAATAACTGTACCAACAGAAAGCAAGGAGGAAGTCTACAGAACTCAGAATCTCTCATGTGACTTTAGGATGTTTCTATTGACAGGTTTTCTACAGAGATCAATTCTGGCTTGGTGGAAGTAATAGCCCCTCCTGCAACTTACTATCCTGACTTGACAAACTTGAAAGAGACATTTGGAGACTCAAAAGAGAGAGTGAGGTTAGTTTATTTCCCCAGATCTTTTCCCATCTCCTCCCACACCCACACTTTTGTTGTTTATGAAATGGCAAGTGGGATGTGAATTCTTGAAATGTTTTCTTACTGTAATTCTTGAAAGTGTGGGGATGCTAAAAGTGCTCTGTGAATCCATCTCATTCCTATCTGCATGCTGTTCCGTGCATGATCAGAGCCTAATGCTATGCTTGGTTGAATTTATTTAGTGTTAAATTTTGGGAGGAGAACTGAGACTTGATATACTTTTTTTGCTGTATGTAGACTTTTTTGTTTACTGTTTTTCTTCCTGAAATACAGTGTAAAACCCAGTAATTCCTGCTGAATTACCATTTAAAATGCACGTGTTTTTAGTGAAATGTCAGGTAGTTTTCACAAAATCAGATTCAAGTTAAAGCAGTTTTATGTCTGTATTAAACCATAAGGCGAAAGCTTTGTTCCTTTTTTTCAGAGAGAGGATTTCCTGAGCAAACAATGCCAAAAGCAGCTGTCCTAACATTTCACTAATATGCGTCATTGTTCATAGTGAGATTTACTTTGCATTGCCAGTGTGTACTGAAATAACTTTTTTCATAATCCTTAAGCTTTTAATTTCATTTCAGATGGAGAACAAAACAAAACTTGGATTATTGTTTTCTTATGATGTATGCCCAGAAAAAGGGGGTTTATTACATTCAGGTAAATTTCTCTTCTTTGTTTTGAGACAAGTTTTCAAATGAGTCTCCAGAAATTATGCTGTTGGACACATCAGAAGGACCTACGCAGAACAGAGATAACTTGATTCTATAGTTGAAGGAGGGCATTAAGTATGGAGGTTATGGTATATGGGGAAGTAATTTGTGGAGGACAGTCTCTGAAGTAGAAAGTAATTTGTCCTGTGAAACTCTTTATCTTAAAAAGGGGGTTTATTACATTCAGGTAAATTTCTCTTCTTTGTTTTGAGACAAGTTTTCAAATGAGTCTCCAGAAATTATGCTGTTGGACACATCAGAAGGACCTACGCAGAACAGAGATAACTTGATTCTATAGTTGAAGGAGGGCATTAAGTATGGAGGTTATGGTATATGGGGAAGTAATTTGTGGAGGACAGTCTCTGCAGTAGAAAGTAATTTGTCCTGTGAAACTTACTTTATCTTAAGATGCTTAGTAAAAAAAGTGAAGGAATGCAGACAGCTTAACTACCGTTTTTTCCTTGTCCCCCAAATGAGTTACTGTTGAGTCATCTAGGCAAAAAACACCAACATAGTTTTGAGTGGAAATCGAGCTAAAATCCATTTTTACTTTCTTTTGAAGGCAAGTGCAGCATCACTTTAATATGACTGTGTTGTATAGATATGTTTTCAATGTGTTGCTAGACTTGTTTTCTTTTTTCTTTTTTAAAGAGGTTTTCAAGAACAGAGTTAAGCAATTCTTCTTAAATTTAATTTAGCTCAGAATTGTTCCTATCGTGTCTTGCTGCTTTGAAGTAGAAGCCTTACCTACAGGTATTGCACATTTAGTGAGTAACTGCGCTTATGATCTATATTTAGTTTGGGACTGTGTCCTTTGGGTATAAAGCCCCACTCATCTCATCTAGTTATTACAAAGCTATGCTGACTGCTCTTGGAGAGCTGTTGGAGACTCAGCTCTCCTGGAAGCTGCACAGTCAATAACGTGAGACAGTCTTTTTGAAACTAGGCAGTCGCACAAATATTAGTACCAGAACAAGGGGGGGGAGCATAAATGCACAGGGAGAAAGGACAGCAGAAGCAGGATCCTTAAAGCAGTGGCCTGCACTTAATATGAATTAAAGGCATTGTAGCGCCACATCTTGGCGGTTCTGCTGCCCGGACTAGATGATTAGTTTGGAATATGTTCTTCTGTTGGACAGCTAAAGCCAGGTGAAATGGATCCCACCTCTGTAGACGTGTCTCTTAGCTTCTTGTCTCAGAGGAGAAATTCTTTCGGTGATGTTAGGTGCATGAGTAAAGAAAGTCATGTTTGTGTACAAATAATACAGATATTCTACTTGTTCTACTGATGATGTCACTTAGTCTAACTTTATTTCATGGATGATTTTTCTCTGAAGAGAGAAGCTAGAAAAGCAATGTTCTGAAGTAATAAGTTGAGTTACATTTGTGGATTCTTACTACAGAAAGATTCTGCATTAGTGCTCCACAACTAGACAGACTGTGATCCCTACAATAGTTATTCTTGGCTATAGCATCTAGGTTTTATAGCAGCTCTTGCATTAGAAATATATGGCTATGTGTTAGCAATATATTACAAATCAGTATTTCCTAGCTGTACTTTTTCCTATTGCTTTGCTGGTGCTTTTTTTTAATTTATGTTGATATCGCTGCTGCCTTCCTCTAGCTTGAAGATGACATCGTTGTCAAGCAGAATTATTTCAGCACAATAAAAAATTTTGCACTTCAGCTCGCTTCTGAAGATTGGATGATTCTAGAATTTTCTCAGCTGGGTTTCATTGGTAAGAAAAAGTTCACTTTAGTAGTTTGAAAGAACACATTCATCCTCAGACTCCGTGAATTAATAGTGATCTGACTTCAAAGCTATCTTCTTTGTACTGGAAATAGACCAAGAAGTAGAAATTTAATTGGCTTTTTTAGGAATTCTGGTTTAACTCGTGGGTTGGTGGTTTTTTTTTTTCCCAGTTGTTTCATACGCTTTTGTATGACTGAGGCAAACTCAAACTGTTGGAAAAGAGGGCATTTTTAACCAAAAGTACACATTCATCCTCAGACTCCGTGAATTAATAGTGATCTGACTTCAAAGCTATCTTCTTTGTACTGGAAATAGACCAAGAAGTAGAAATTTAATTGGCTTTTTTAGGAATTCTGGTTTAACTCGTGGGTTGGTGGTTTTTTTTTTTCCCAGTTGTTTCATACGCTTTTGTATGACTGAGGCAAACTCAAACTGTTGGAAAAGAGGGCATTTTTATAACCAAAAGTTAATTAATTTATAAAAATACTAACAGTTGAACTGCAAGGAATGACTTTAAATTTAGCTGCCATTAAAACAAAAATGTCATTAAAACACAACTGACTGAAGTAAAAGAAAAAAAGCATGAAAACTAACTCCACCTAAAACAACTTCGTTGGTGTCTGTGCCAAAATTTCCAAGAATCAGCAGGCATCAGTTTGTGTTGGTTGCAAAGCCTGTTCTATTGCTACCTTTCTACTCCATCAAGGAGAAGTTGTGACAGTCTGCTCCTTCTTAGGTGTAGTTTGAGTCTATCTGTCATTTACAGTGAACAACAGTGAGAGAAGCTAATGCAGCATCTCGGGCTGTTGTGAATTGACTACCAGGGTCCTGTTGAAATTACTTTATGGTTCTTTGCTCTTACACTAACATGTTTTTATTGAGAGGTATTAGACTTAACAGAAAAGCAATGAAAGAGAAGTTTTGAAGGGATTTTACAAATCAAAAGGTTATTTCATTACTGCAGTGATGTGTCATAATCTGTTTAAAAGCGCTAAGCTGGAGATATGCAAGGAAAAATCAAAAGCTAAGTCAGACTGTGGAGATTCCTGTATGTAGTCAACACAAATGATTCCAGTGCAAAGGCTGTAAGTTGAGCTCAGAACAGGAAGAAAATCCTACATGTAACAGATAAAGTGCTGTCCTGAGTTCTGTCATTCTCTTGGAAATTCTTGTTCTCTTGTTTTTAGTTTGGATCTACTTTCCAGAGAACGGCTTCATTTTTAGCTCAGTGACCCATAATGGTAGCACTGAGAACTGAGAATGTTGGCACTGTGTGAATGGCGAGTACTATCCTGTTTCTAGCTCAGCATCAGGTGTGCTGCTGAGGCAATAGTTTCCTGAATTTCAGGGTCTCAGAGATTCACTGAGTAGAAAGGAAAACAGTAGTTATCTCCTAAACGTGCTATGTTAGGGTACAAAATGGTACTTCGTACATTTGCCTGTCAGCCTAACCTATAGAAACAATGGAGAGGAGAGGAAACGGGCAGAGGGAAGTCTCCTTACCTATCTGACCACCACGTAACCGATCTGCTTGGTTGCCTTGGGCTACCAACAGAGATGCACTGTTGCTGAAATAGTTCTGGGACTGGTTTTGTGGCCTCAGAGGTGGAAGGGAGAAACAGGAAATGGAGCTGCCTATTCTGGAGAAATAAGCGTTTGAATAATTTACTGGAGCTTTTGCCCTAGATAGACTTGTCTCTTCTGTTGGGGAGCCCCTTGCAATTCTCTGCAATTCTGTGGCTGCAGAGGCTGGTTGAATACCAGCATCTGATTAGGCTTTGTTTCAACTTTTAAACAGTTAAATTGTGGGCTTAACTGGGGTTAGAGTTTTAGCTCCAGTCCTAATTGCACTTTAAATGTAAATTCTGTATGAAGTTCCTGGGCTAGAGAAATAATTTACATTCATTCTACATTTGCTTAATTTAGTAGTAGAGCGTACGCGCTTACAAATTGCAGTTTTGTAAGACTGACATGTCAAAATGGACATAAAACCAACTTACAGTTTAGGACGTGCACTGTCTACCCCATGCAGATGTATTTCAGATCACTTATTATTTGTGTATTTGTGTATTTCACACCACTTTCTGTTCTCAGTGCTGCTATAGAGGGCACAGTATCTAAGCCAGAAGGGGTAGGTAGATAGTTCTTAATACTGAGATTTGGCTTAATCACCTGCACAACTGTTTAAAAATATTTTAAAGTTGTTTTTCTACACTATGTACTTTTTTTCAGTGTAGGCTCTGAAATAATTGTAGTTAAATTTAGTTGTTAGCTCCTGATGCTTGCTCCCTGTTCTTTGTTCCCTGTATCATATTTGCTTGCCTCCTTTTAATTAGATGGTATCAGTAGAATGCCAGATGCATTTAGCTATGGCTACACATCTTAATGTTGCTTTTCTACCTAGAAAATGAAATTAGATTTTTTCTTCCAATTTAGCTACTTATCCTGCTTTTAAGTTTTGAGAGAAAAATTAGTATTCATGAAAGTGACTAAAACTTCTGGTTTTGAGACACATTGGTGTGCTGTAACCACATATTGCATAGAAATTTTATGCAAGTAATGTAGATTTGCCTCATCTCTGCTATCCCTTTATGGATCTTGATGCAGACTGATACTAAGGTAATTTGGTAATGTGGATAGCTGTGGAGAAGAGAAAAAGTAGCTGTTTGTAACTGGGGATGAGTTTTATGTGTCGATGTCTTAAGAGAGAAAGTAGATCACTGAATTGCCTAGATGCTACTGATTTAGAAATAATCTCTAAAAAGGAGGCGTGTAGCTGATTTGCTGTAAGCTATTGGAAACCTGTATCAGCTGGTAAAAATGTTTTTTGTCATAGTGTATTTCTGAACTGAAAATCTAATTTATGCAAGTACTACATGAGGAAGTGGCAAACGCAGCTGTTTAGGCTGACAGCAGGATGATAGAATTCTGTCACCTCTACCACAAAGCAGAAGTTGCTTCCTTTGTTTTTTTTTTTAATACTGAAAGCATAGTCTTAAGTGCTGTCAAGTATCTAATAAATAATGGGTGAGATGTGTGCTGTTTCCCTAAGAAGCTCTGTGGAAGGAGATGTATCTTTTGCTCTTCTGGATTCTGGTTTGCACTGTGGTCCCTGACACGACACAGGAAAGTCCTACTAGCTTTTATGAGAAGTACTGATTTGTCTTCCAACTGCCTGTGAGCTGAAGTGTTTTCCAGAGGATCTGGAATACTCTGCGCTGTAGCTATAATGCCAGCTGTCACGAACTTCTTTAATGGAGCAGTCTGAAATCAGCCTTTTGGTTGTCTTATACAGTTCCTCTGAATCTTACTGCGCCCTGATGTTTTAAGGCCTGTTGTTCTGATTATTTTAAGTTGTTCTGATTACAGTTTTGCTCAAGCTGTCCACATAGTTGAAGTTTGGAGAAGAGTAGATCAAGTCAAATATTTGAGATTTAAATAACTTCAAAGAGGTTCTGGTTTTAATGCCAGTAATTTGCATATCATTAACAGGGAAAGCATTGAAAGACTTCAACTATAGTTAGAATATGTGCTTGTAGGTATAAAATTATTGTTGGTGTAGACTGAATATATTTAATGATGCTTATGCGGAAGAATGAAAATGAATGATTTAGATACTTGCAGTTCAGAGAACTGTAGAAAACAAAGTTTTTCATTTTGTGTGTGTCTTGTACTTGCCAACAAAATACTGAGAGGGCCAGAATAGTTCATTAAGGATAGCATTTAAATGGACTGAAAATCAGACAGAAGTCTTGGCAGGGCACAATAAATAGCAGAAAATGTTCCACAATATCTTTTTTTTCAGTCCTGGCTCTCATTTTTATCAATATAGATAAATAATATGGAGGAAATCTTCCACATTTTGTAAATCTCTAGGGATTTATGGAGCAAGATTTTACCTTTGAGTCTTAATTATTTTGGATTTTGAAGTTTCTTTCCAAGGGTAGGTTGTATGCACTCAGAATCTGAAACCTCTGAAATTTTGTCAGCAGAGTCTCCTCGATTTATGTCTGTTCTCCTGCACTGTACAAAGTGCATGAACATGGTGCAAGATGAGCCATTGCTTCAATTCTTTCACATTGTCTTCTGGTTTGAGGCAGTGCATGTTGACTGCAGTTTTTGCTTAGGTCTCTTTGGCTTGATGACTTTTGACTGCATATTGGGGATGGCCAGTGGGCAATCTATAGGCTGGATTTGGATGGCAGCTCCATGGCTCACAGTGCTTTCCTCACCTGCAGCTGCATGGGGGGCCACAGGACTGCAGGACCTTGGCAAATGCTGCTTCTTGTTCTTGGGCTATGGCTATGCCCTAGGGAAGCCAGGCTGCTGCTACCCTTGCTCAGGAGAGGCTAGGCAAGGGCTTGGCTGATTTGGATTCAGAGGGGCTGGGGTGTCGGATCTGTGGAGTAGGAGTTGTACTGGGGCTGCTTTCCATCACAAGGAGTAGCTGTGGACAGTCAGGGGTCCAGAGCTTTGAAGACCTGTTTTACCAGGGGTTTCACTGCAGAGGCCTGTTTTTGAGCTGGGGTAGGAAGGGTTCTGGGGGAGAAAAGGGGGACATTGATCCATGGCAGTACTGCTGTGCTGTGCTGGTGGTGTCCTGAGACAGAATTGACAGATGAGGGATGCTGTGTTATACTGAAGGGCAAGGAGCTGGGGCAGAGCTGTGCCAAGCTGGGTGTGGAAGGCGGTGACAGCATTTCAGCCAGTAGTGTGTGGATGTCTGTCCTTGGTTACTGAAGGGAGACGAGGGCTTGTCTCGGGAGCAGGCTGTTGCCTGTTCATCTTCGCTCCAGTGATCATTACGAATTCAAGTGAGAAGGCTTTGCCTGCACTGTTGAACCCTTCCACGATGCTGGGCAGTGTAATGTAGAGAGGCCAGTTGGGTCTGAAGATGCTAGTGCAGGTACAGCCAGCTGATGCTTAGCTAGCATATTCTGACTAGTTGCAGTTGGATGTATTAGGGTTTGGGTTTTGTTTTTTTTTCCTCTCCCCCCTGCCCCAGTGCATCCTGTGACATCACCATGTTAACTAGATTATTCCCTGAGTCAGGGGTGGTTGACTGCATGGTTGACAGTGGTATGCCAATCCAGGCCTAGAGGAAAGTGCCTCTGGGCCTAGACAAGTTTGCCATATGGAAGTAAATAATTTGTTTGTTCCTATCCTGTTTCTATTTTGGGTAAAATTAGGGTAACTTAAATTAGGGAAAAGAGTAAATTCCTACTCTTACCTTTAGTCTTGTTCTCTGCTTATTTCATTGTAGGTAAGGATCCTGTACCTTAATGTTCAGGTTTTAAGTGACATGGTCTGTGAGTGTGTTTTCACCATAGATGACAACTGAAGACTGTAATCCTTGTGCTCTTCAGAAGATGAGCTAGTCAAAGGAAAAAATGTACAGTGTGGTTCTATTGCTCTGTCCTTGGGTAGAAGAAAAGGATTCCAGAGCAGCATGACTGTGTATGCCTCCCAGAAGAGGATAAACTCTCTCTTCAGTCAGTCTCTTTCCACTGAGATTGGAGCAATAATGTGGGGATATTTTTGTCTTCTGAGTCGCATGGTATTGCGCATCTCTCTGACACCACATGGAAAGGTCCACTTCCTATGGAAGCAGGCATGACTGACAGACTACCTCAGCAGGTTTCATCTAGAAATGATGGTTTCAGTCCCATAAACATCCCAGAAACATCTGATTAGTCCCATTTTTCAGCTGGTGTTTGATTAGGGTTTCTCATATTTTTCTCTTCTCCTGCCCTATGCTATTGAAAGCAGTAGGCAGAGATGAATCACCAGGAAAATTGGGAGCCCATTTAGTTGGAAGTGTGACAAGCTGAAAGAGCTGTTATTCTGCATGAATATTTTACACAACATTATACAAATCATATGATTGTTTCCTACCCATTTTTAAATATTTACTTCCACAAATAATGTTAAACAATATGACAACAATATAGTGTGTAAATAGTAACAATATACTAATAAAAATCGTAACATCTTTCTTATGTCTTTAAAGAAGAAGACTTTGCAGTTGTCCCTAGTTTAGTAGGAGTTGTCCCTTGTTTAGTGGGAGCTTCAAATTTTAGTTACAGAATATTTTCAAGTGGAGATGCCTATTTGAGGACCTCATTGCAACAAGCACCTACAAGTGATGTCAATGTTTTTGCTTTATAAACAGCCAAATTAAAGGTTTTTGTAAGGGACAACTTTGATTTAGCAATGTCAGGTAAGTTAATGTCTTACCACGTTTACTTCTCCATCCCACTGTGTGAATGGTCTGCTTTATGAATATAGCATCATTCCAACAGATGAAATAATTGGGACTTCTGTCAGATGCTTCTTCTGTGTTTATTGCACTGCATCATGATGTAGCCTTGCTCAGACCTCTCCAAACTCATCTCAGAATTCCAAATAAGTATTATTTCATTGGCTATGTTCTTATCCAATTTCATACAAGTCATAAGGGAATGAGATCGCATCAGACCTGTTTTCTGGAAAGGACGAGGCCCTTTAGGTCATCTCCTAAGTATGTATCCTCTTTTTGAGGAAATAAAGGATCTTGCAATTCGAGATCCTGGCATTCTCAAAGCAAATCTCCACATATGAGAGTCTGATACCTGGCAGTGTCAGAGCACACGTAACAGGGCTCCTGCAACTTTGATGCTTTCCCTTAAAAATGTCCTCGTTGCTAATATATGTAAGCTAACAACCTGGCATTCTATATCTACTCTGAGATGTTGTATAATGTGCTAGGCTCAGTCACTTGTTTCAGTAGAGAAGTTTTCCATCCCTGTTACAACAGGGATTTGAACTCCCAGCTCCTTGGGGTTTTTTTTATGCTGCCTTGAGATAATCTTCTATGAATTACAGACTTCATTGAGCCTCAAAAGAAAGAGAAGTAACTGAACGTCTGGCTCTGAGTGATAGTCCACATGTACATTCACAGTGGAAGTGTATGTTCCTAATCACTTAAGACTAGAAAACTTTTTACCTTCTGTGTAGTACTGGTTCAGGGTGATACTTCAGGTATATCCTCTCTTCGGTTTATATAAATGCGAACGTCCTCCTTAATGGCTAAATAAGGTAGACTGCTTGCACCACTTCTTCATTTCCGCTCAGCCACCTGCTCAAGTAGAGTGCTACACTGCTGATGGTGTTTAAGCTTCATATAAAACGTTGTTCCCTATTTGTTTGTCATCCAGACTATACAGCTCCTTAGTGGCCTTTCCGAAGAATTTTGTCCTCTTGTAGATGAGAACCAAATCCCGTTTTCTGTTGAGTGTGGGAAGTGTTTTTGCCACCTCAGAGAGGAACCTGTTCTTGATGTCTACTCCGGCTGTTCTTCCTAAGTGTAGAAGGAGAAAATATTAGGACCTCTACCACTCGTGGAACTTGTTATTTAAAAAGCCTATGAAGGCCTCATAGATTACAAGTGGAAAAAAAACATTTCACATGCCTAAGTGCTGTGTATTAGTGTGTTGTACAGAACTCCCAAGTGTGGACAGACAGAAGACTTGCATTGGAGAAGAGCTTCTATTGGACTCTGATCCATTAGTGCACACGTGCCCCAAGAGCTCATGCCTGTCTAAGTCAGCACTGCCCACATCTCAGCACCATCTGCAGAACTGAATCACTTCGGCCAGTGTCCTCCTAAGAGATTCATTATCATGTAATGTCTTTCTCCCTTGCCTCCTCCATTGTAGCCTAGAAAAGTAGAGGCAGACTTAATCTGCAAACCTGATGATGTTTTCTGAATTTGCCCTCAAATCTGGAACTGCCTTTGGGAGTTTAGCTGGCCCTCAGTCCCTGGTACAAGCACTTGTTGTCAGTCTGTCTTCAGCCTTGGGCTGCCCCACTCCCAGTTACCTGTTGGTCCTGGTAGCCGTGTCTTCATACAAGGCACCTTTCTTAAGTGCTGCATTCAGTTTAACAAAATAGCCCAGTAGATTGGCCACCTTTCTCTTCAGACACCTGGGCTGGCAGTGAAGTGCATTCCACAACCATGGAAAGAGTTGCTCTTGTTGATAGTAAATAGACTTTCTTCATCAACGGTAAGTTTTCTTCTTTTGCCAAGGCCTCCTTTAAGCCTCACAGTTTGCAGGGTCCCCAAGAATCCTGTAGCACAGCGCCACCCAGAAGTCCATCTGTACTTGACCCAGCAGTGTGCTGTCTTGGAAGTCCCAAAGTCATGGCAGTACTCGGTGAAGAAGTTCTGCAGTTTCTGTTTGTGGGAGGGACTTAGACTTTCTGCTAGGCAGCTGACTGCTTTGAGTGTGGCTAGTTGGAAATGCTGTCAGTATGAGTTTGCTGATGGCCTATGCATTTCAGAAAAAACTCCCGTCGCTGCTATGTGATATCTCTCTTTTTTTTTTTAAGTTGTGTTGTCTCTGTATGTTCTAGGGAGGGACTTAGACTTTCTGCTAGGCAGCTGACTGCTTTGAGTGTGGCTAGTTGGAAATGCTGTCAGTATGAGTTTGCTGATGGCCTATGCATTTCAGAAAAAACTCCCGTCGCTGCTATGTGATATCTCTCTTTTTTTTTAAGTTGTGTTGTCTCTGGTTATGTTCTAGTAGCTTCCTTCTTTCCCTTTGATTTTTCTACAGTGAAGGATCTGGAGTTAGTGGTAGGTGTTCCATCTCTGCTTTTTGTACCTGCAAAAGCTGCAATTGTGTGACTGGGCAGATAACACTTGTGACAGCTCCTTGTCTCAGATGCTTGAAGCTTTCACATGGCATGGACAATAATAGGCACGAATCCATAACTGTTCTTTCTCTATTTTTGCAGACTGACAGTTTCTGTTCTTAAGGAGACTGTGTTGTAGTATACATTGAATACTTTGATAGCACCAAGATATATTACGAGTTCTTGTTTGAATAGTTGTTTTACTTAGTTTTGCATAGCTGAAAGGTATGGAGCCTTTAATAACATTGAGATTTCAAGTTGTTCATTGCTAACGTTTCTTGTCTTGGCACAAACTTATCGTCTATTGTCTCACTGATTTTAAAAGACAATGTTATCTTCAATCTAAAATAACTCCAGTTATTCTTAATGTCATCACAGGTAAAATGTTCCAGTCTCCAGATATCACTCTTATTGTAGAGTTCATATTTATGTTTTATAAGGAGAAACCTATTGATTGGCTCCTGGACCATATCCTCTGGGTGAAAGTGTGTAACCCTGAGAAAGATGCTGTAAGTTTGTTTTTATTATAAAGCTTCTAAAATGTTTTCATGATGGTGATTGAGTTGGTATTGGTGAGCTGGAGGCTAGCATACTTACTGTGTAGTATGGTTACTGCATGTCCTGAAAGAGTTTTTCTTCCTTCCTACCAAGATTTTAATCTCAAAAAGAACTTTGGAGAGACAGTTCTCAGAGGCATTATAACTGTTATTGTTTCAGATTTTGGAGATGGATGCAGTAGGATGAAAAGCAAAAGTCTAGTTAGTTTCTGTGTGTAACAGTTCTAAAATAAACTCATTCACATAACCCACACTGAGGCTCTGCAGAATGCCACTGCTTGGATAGCAGTTATAGAGAAGGTTCCGAATGGGGAATAAACTTTGGATTTTGGTCCTTCATTTCTCAAGTAGCAGCCTTGCTGAAAGACTGAATCAACAGGTTCCGTGCAAGAACCTTGAACAGTGTTATATTTGCACAGCAGTCTTAGTAGATTTCTGGAATGAAAACAAGAACAACTGGATAAATAGGTCTGGGTTCTTGCTGAGTCTTTTTGGTTCATGTAACATCACGTACGTGCACTAAAAACTCAGCAACCTTGTGTTGGTTTTACTAAT